TACCAGAGTTATTATGGATTTGTCCTTGGGAAGGTCCTCAAATTCTCAGATAACAACTGACTTCAGATTTGGACTCAGCGACCGGGAAAACCTGTACTGAATGTGTTGGAGTGTCACGACTTCTTTGAATGTGCTCTTGAAACGACCTTGAGTTGACCTTCAATGCAAACTGGTTATGTACGCGCTTAGACTTGATTGATAGACATATCTTGGATTTGTCCTTGAGGCCACTTTGAAAGGACCTTCAAATTCCCACATAGTAACTAACTAAGAGAGATACAGATAGATACTTTATTGCTCTTTTTGATCATTTAGGATAGAGCATGGCTGATACAGGACGTATCCTTGCTATATTTATCGCTTAGAAAAATGACAGATGTACAATGAGATACAATATAGATAAGAGATAACCCCATGTGTTGAGCTCAATTGCTCGACTTCTTATGAATGTGTCCTCCAAGTGACCTTGAACGAACAAAAGCCCCGATAGATACAAACTGGTATGGTACCCGCCTGGAATCGACAGACCAACCTTTAATTGACCTTGAATGATCTTTAAATAGTACATAGTCAGCTCCAGATTTGGACTCAAAGACCAAGAAAATCTGTACTAGATGTGATCCAATTGTTTGACGTCTTTGGAATATGTCCTTGAAGCTACCTTGAAGTTGTCTTCAAATGACTTCGTATCAGTAAACTGGCACTGTACGCGCCTGGGCCTGATTGCCAGATACATTTTCGATTTGTCATTGAAAAGATCCTCAAATTCTCAAGAAGAAACTAAATTCAGATTGAGGTTTAGGGACCGAGAAAACCTGTACTATATGTGACTGGTGAGCTCACTGTCACGGCTTCCTCTGGAGGTGCTCTAGATACGACCTTGGAGTTGACCTTGAATGCCCTCATAGATTCAAACAGGCTCGGTACTCGGACTCGATTGATAGGCATACTTTTGGTTTGTCCTTGAGACCACTTTGAAATGACCTTTAAATATCCACGAGGTAACTAACTAAGATACTTTATTGATCCTTTTGAACGATCGTGAGGTATCCCCAAGCGCTATCACACGGGCAAACTGGTACGGAACGCGCCTGGACATGATTACCAGAGTTATTATGGATTTGTCCTTGGGAAGGTCCACAAATTCCCAGATAGCAACTGACTTCAGATTTGGACTCAGCGACCGAGAAAACCTGTACTGAATGTGTTGGAGTATCACGACTTCTTTGAATGTGCTCTTGAAACGACCTTTTAGTTGACCTTCAATGCAAACTGGTTCTGTACGCGCTTAGACTTGATTGATAGACATACCTTGGATTTGTCCTTGAGGCCACTTTGAAAGGACCTTCAAATGCGTACATAGTAACTAACCAAGAGAGATATAGGTAGATACTTTATTGGTCTTTTTGGTCATTTAGGATAGGGCATGGCTGATACAGGACGTATCCTTGCTATGTTTATCGTATAGAAAAATGACAGATGTACAATGTGACTTAATCATATTAGGGGAGATACAATATAGATAAGAGATAACCCCAGATTCTGTACGATATGTTGTTGAGCTTAATTGCTCGACTTGATTTGAATGTGTCCTTCAAGTGACTTTGAACAAACAAAAGCTCCGATAGAGACAAACTGGTATGGTACCCGCCTGGAATCGACTGACCAACCTTTAATTGACCTTGAATGATCTTTAAATAGTAACTGGCCAGGTTCAGATTTGGACTCGATGACCAAGAAAACCTGTACTACATGTGATCCAATTGCTTGACGTCCTTAACATATGTCCTTGAAATGACCCGAAAATGCGCTCGTACAGAGAAACTTAGACAATACAATATTTTATTGGTGTTATTCTATATACATTACTTACACACGTCACTCTGTAACAAATTTATATAGAATACGAATATCATATTTACTATTTTGTCTTTATTATTGTCTTTATCCTGGATTTGGTATGAACAACCCGTTATCGAATTTTCAGTACGTAGCAAGTGGTCTGGTCCTACTATTCGTAGAATGTATACCTTCCCTCCTTCCCGGAGTTAAAACGTGCGAGAGGGGGTACAGCCAACTTTGAAAGACAACGTAATTAATTGTTTTTTGTCGTGATTTGAAAACGTTCGGCGCTCTGAAGCGCCTATTTCGCTAATGTTGTTAAAACGAATTTGCGTTATCGATTAGACTTTCCTGAAATACGCACTTGACGCGCCTCTCGACATCTGACATCCTAAGAAAATTAATTAGCGAAAAGATGGTCATTGCATTGTTTCTTTTGCTTTTCATTTCAGCTCCGTCGAGATTAATTTGCCTAAATTTTTTTTTCCTGTTGAGCAGTGTAAAAAACGGCATCAAGTGGATTGACTCCATACTCCCGCCTTCAGAACTTAGACTACAGCTTTCCATATAGTACAGTGGCATCAAAATACCAGAACCTTTTGGCCTATCCATGAAAAAAAATTCTTCAGATTGCAGCATTTAGCATTTCTGTACACGGTAGTCTCATTTCTTTCCAAGTTATAGAGAGATCAAGGATCACTAATGGGAAAGAGTGACATGAACGTTGTCACGTAACATCCAAAAAATACTATGTCTGAGCTGAGTAAAAGTATCGTTAACATCTTATTTACAAGAAATACAAGCAAGACTTCTGCTACAGTATTTTTTCCTCATATCGAGGCATAGATTTGTTTCTGCGTACATCATGACGCGCTTGGTGCATCGTTTGTTTTAATCGGCTGTGCAGGTGCCAAAACACCCGCAGTTTTTTGGTAATGCGCTCATAAATTCACCCTCAATATCCCGTTGCGATCAGATAAGGGAGCATTTTTGGGAGCTGCCTATTTAGCGGAGTTTCACACTGTGCTAGGTAACATGCAGCCGACATACAGGGGTAAACGTTTTTTTTTTTAGGATGTTAGGAATAACTTACATCTCTGCTGGACTATGTTACTATTACTGAGAATTTGTAATTTTGAATTTTATTATTGCTCCATAATTCGATCTTTTCGTTTTAAAAACCACCCTATTTACTGAGAGTTTCTCTTCTGTTGCCCGTTATCTCTACATGGTGTAAACGTTATGGTAGTAATTGTTGAAATGGGTAATAGAGGGGGGGGGGCAAGTCTAAAAGTTCATATGACCCATGATCCAAAAGTCAACAGTTTTACTATTTTTTATAATCTAATCTAAAACGTTTTTAAATTGGGTAATTAGCAAATAAATGCCATTGAGTTTTTCTAAGTTAAGCCAAAATTTGTAGTCAGTAAGATTCATCAAATTAGATATTTAAAAGACACACGACAACAGCGCGTCGATCATCATCATTCTTATCGAACCGGCAATCGATCGCAAACGGTAACAGTGATTAGTATGTTGTTTTGTTTTTGTTCGCGTACGTCGTCGTGTTTATTTACAATGTTCTCGAATCAAGAGTTCGCCGACATGTAGTTACTTTTAGAAGAAGTTCCAGTCATGGAAAAGGTTCCGAATGTGGAACTTGCACGACGGGGTTCCACCACGAGAACCATGACTTGCTGTTTGATTATTTCGTATTTTCTTCACACTTTCTCACTTGATCTGAAATATCCTTATTATCATGTAATAGATTTATCTATTTTGGGCTTTTGCTAGCTTAGTAACACAACTACTTTTAATGATGATTAACTTTAGTCTGTCTCAAAATGTGTATTGATAGGTACTGCAAGATTACTCGGTCATTCCTCTGCCTAGCGCAGCATTTCCGGTGAATTATATTACTTGCAATACCTTACGAGATTCTAATAACAATATACAGGGTGTAAACGTTATGTTAGTCATTATTTAAATGGGAGTCAAAACGGCATCTTCATTATGACGAAGCCAGTTTCTTCTTACTCTAGGTCCTCGAAGTTGTCCATTCATTATTTCAGCCGCATTAAAATTTTTTTCGCGAAGTTGTGCTTCAGTTGTTATTGGACCAGCCCCATCAACCATCCCTTTAAGTCATCCCCAATACCAGAAATCCATCGGATTAAGGTCAGGAGATCTTGCTGGCCATTTTCGAGGATCAGGAACATTTCGACCGATCCAGCGATTTGGATAATGTTCATTCAAGTACTAAATGGCGCCTCTAAAAATGTGTGGTGGTTCCCCGTCATGAAGAAACCACAAATTCTGTCTTCGTTGTAATGGCATGTTGTCTAAGGTCTGTTCCAAAAGTTCTGGTAGGTTGTTGACTAGAAAGTATCCTTCTCTTGACAACTTTGTGGGTAACTCGAAGGGGCCAATTACCGTTGGCTTAATCTGACGCGATAAATTTGAGCTCCAAGATTTGAATTCGGACGAGCTTTACCGTAAACTAGCATGTCGGCGAACTCTTGATTCGAGAACATTGTAAATAAACACGACGACGTACGTGAACAATAACTAACCACTGTTACCGTTTGCGATCGATTGCCGGTTCGATAATAGTGATGAATGACCGACGCGCTGTTGTCATGTGTGTTTTAAATATTTAATTTAATGAAACTTACTTACTGACTACAAATTTTGGCTTAACTTAGAAAAACTTAATGCCATTTATTTGTTAATTACCCAATTTGAAAACGTTTTAGAATAGATTACAAGTGGTCGATATAAGGCACTCAAAATTGTAAACTATAAAGCCATTTAAACAAAAATCTGTTGAATTTTGAACTAAGGGTCATATGAAGTTTTTGACTTGTTTTGACTCTCCCTATCACCCATTTAAATAATGACTACCAGAACGTTTACACCCTCTATTATACAGATCTGACAATACTACAATCAAGAAAGTCGAAGACCACCGAAATACTTTCATCACGTATGCGTGGAAAATAAAAAGAGATCACCATTCCACTCCCGTACTAACCCATTATCAAGTAGAACTTCAAACACGTTGCTACACCTGAAGCTTACATACTTGGTATGCGACAACAACACGTACGTCCGTTTGTATCCGCCGGGTAAATTAATTTAAAAATAAGGCTCAACTTCACACAAAGGTGTTAATTAACAAAGTTTACGAAAGCTAATTCTAAGTTTATCACGAGGAACTCTTTCGATTGTATCCTGGAGAGCCTGGAGAGCGTGTTCATGGAAAGCCCGAGAGAAACTTTACCGGCACCGTCCTGCCTTAGTCTGAAACTAGTCGCTCTCTCAATCAATCTAGAGAGAGGTAAGTTTTCGAGTACTACAATGCGCTCCGGAGAAGAAAAGAGGAGAGAAAGTTAGTATAGTTTACCATATTTGACGATCTAGCGCCCCTTTACTGCTATGTCAACTGGCTTTGCTCCCCTGACCTACGTAAAACCACAGCCGTCGTCAACTACGAGCCGCGAACAAAGAAATCTGGCAACGTAGGTGGTAGTGTTACTCCCGCCGCTGCTTGCTGCATCGACGCAACTCGTGCTCAAAACGCTGAGAAAACATAACCTTTTCAATTTGTGATTTTGGAATCCCAGAGGCTGTAATTAAGAGATAAGCTTGTTTTCTAAGCTTCAAAGTGTGTGTATGTGTTCAAAGTGATCGGTGACTATAATATATGAGAAATAGACTCCAGTTGTAGTGCTTCTGTGCTTTAAAAATAAACTAAGACTGTGGCTGTTCGCGCCTCAGGGCGCTAAGGATTTCAACTATTGAAAACGTGCAAATTCAGGTTGTATTTTTCTTTTTTCATTTATCAAGTATTTGACGCAGACAATATGCCTCGTTGTTGCTGTGTTCCATTATGCAATGCAAACTATAATTCTGCTTTGAAAACAGAAAGCTATGTTTCAATTTTTCGCTTCCCAAGTACCGAAAGTCTGAAAAACAAATGGCTTATGGCAATTCCCAGAAAAAATTGGACACCTTCAGAATATTCAACTGTGTGCAGTCGTCATTCTAGAGCATCGGATATCATCAGGACAGAAAATATAGTTTTGGCGGATGGAACAGTCCAAAATAATATACCTTTGAAATATCCAAAATTGAAAGAAAATGCTGTTACCTCCATTTTCCCAAACTTGCCATCATATCTTTCAAAAACTGAAGCACCCGGAAGAACTGACCCAATGCAAAGAAAACAAAAATTAATTGAGAAACATGAAAAAGCTATCCAGAATTTCGATGATATGGATAAGATCAAAGATAAATTTAGTTCAAAAATGTGGATTTGAAGTTATTTGTGTCGTTACTGATAATCACCGAATTAATAGAGCAATGTTCAGGAAATTAGCAAAGGATTCATCAGAAAATTATTCTATTCCAAATCCACATAATCCTGATAAGAACATAATTATATTTAACTTATGATGTTGTGCATATTTTCAAGAGTATCAGAAATAATTGGATTAATTTAAAAAACCTAGTATATCCAAATTTTGACAATAATGATATTATTCAGTATGCTAAAGTTGAAAACATTCGTGCTGTATATCAATTGGAAAAAGAAGCTGTAGTTAAGAAAGCATATAAATTAAATTATAAAACATTGCATCCAAATTCATTTGAAAGGCAAAATGTAAATTTTATAGATAATTTATTCCATCACTCAACAATAGCTGCTATGAAAGAATTAAAGTTTAATGATGCTGCACACTTTTTGGAAATAATCAGGAATTGGTGGGATATTGTCAGTAATACAAGTGTAATAAAAGGAGGATTGGAGCAAAACGAATTTTCTAAGCCTATTACCAATAAATATGATTATAGAGTACAATTTTTAAAAAAAATGCTGATATGGTTAGAAAAATGGCATAATCTAGAGAATAATAATGGACACCTGACACCAGAAACGTATACAGCTCTATATCAAAGCACGCTGACTCTACTTAACATAATTGAATATTCATTTAATCAATTTGACATTGAGTATGTATTGCCTGGAAAATTCACCACTGATAATTTAGAAAAACGATTTGGCAATTATAAACTTTTATGTGGCTGCAATTACAATGTGTCATATGATGAAATTTTAAATGCTGAAAAGAAAATACGGCTGAAGCATATTTTCAATGAAAATAAATCGTCATTTTCTTTAGCAGAAATTAAAACAAGGTTCCAAAACTGCTTAGAAACTCAAGAAAATTTTGATTTCTTGGATACCAAACAAAATCCTGAAGTTTTGGATATATTCAATGAAGTATTTGAGACAAATTACTTAGCCAACTGTGACATAGAGGATAGTACTAAGACTTATATATCTGGATATGCTTCACAGGCTATCTCTAAAAACCTAAACTGCGAGATATGCAAATCGCTCATAGTTCAAGAAAAAGGTTCATTAACAACAGTTGTTTATTTTGATCATTTGCAAAGAGGAGAGATGTAGATGTAGATAGATTTGGAAATTTTCTTCTTGAAAAGCAATAATCAAAAATTTATTTTGTGTCAGTTAATCTTGCTCAGCATTCAGTCTGACTTTATATACAGTGAATTTTCTTTAACTTGCATCTGTGGCCGCAATTATGCAGATATTTTATCTAAGCTTTTGTCTATTTTTTCAAACATAATTTTGAATGATTATGTAAAATCGAAAAATAACAGTAAAACTGAAAGTAAATGTATTAAAAACAAACAGGTAACTCCACATTTCCAAGCTGGGCCTGTTGGAACACAGTGTGCTGACACCAAAAAACGTAAACTTAATACTTTTAATTAAGTTAACTGCATTAGCGACTCATATATATCACGATTATTTCGTATTTTTAAATTTTTTAGAGCTAATTCATATTCAGACGATTTGTATCGAATCCAACTGTCCTCTTTTCCAAAATTAAATCTAGTTCTTGAACGGAGACGGAGCACACAGCGGCTGGCGGCCGACGTTCACAGGTAGCACTACCATGCCGTCCGAGCGCGGTGTTGCCTTTCTTTACAATGAGAATATGTGTCGATATCACCTTGAGCTATCTGGCAAACGTTATTACGCCTTGAATTTTACGTTCCTCAATTGGTATTTCGCAATATTTTATTCAAAGCTTCTTTTTTTATAACATTCTAACAAAAGAACAAAGGTAGAAAAAACGTCAGATGTGCTGGCAACACCGCAGTCCAGGTGACAATAACAAGGTCAGCTGGCAAAACTTATGTCTAGCCTGGGGTACCGTAGGAGCCATTTCAAACGTCAAGCCGTCAATTATAATTTTCAAGTGTTGTGCAACGATTTCGGGAAAAAATTTACTACGAATGGCCTAGTAGAGTAAATGTCAACAGTTGTCTTGACTCGGGCCAATAATGTTATAACTTTTTTACGTTTCATAAATATTTTTGTCTGTAGCATATTGTCTCATCTATTACTTGTACACTTATGCATACTTCACCAACCAGGGATTTTCTTTTCATATCTCTCTCATTTCTGAAATTCAGCAAATTTGCTTATGTGATTTCCAGAATGAATAAGAAAAACCTACGTTATATCACAAAAGACCTACGAAAAGTCAAATAAAAAAACCGACGAAATGTCACTTTGCAAGGTACGTAATACCCCAAATTCCAGTGAAATATAGGTATTTTCTTGACCAGTGTTTCCAGAGACTACTCCCTACTCTACCTAAACCAGTAAATCGGAAAGGGAAACTCCAATTGCCTTTTATTAAATATCTGTTCGGTTAATCCAGATAGTTGCTGTGACTTTCTTTGAGGGTAAGCGCTATTAAGTTCTAAGGGTGCGGCAGGAAGGAACATGGGAATCGCGATAATAGCTGATAAAGGCAGATCTAGGTTTCGCTGTAGTAAAGTTATGCGTTGTGTGTATTTGTTTAGGACTAGGATTCGTCTAGATGATTCGACGTACTTGAGAGTTTGAGCTATGACAAAATCGCGCAAAGTAGGAACAGAGCGGATCCGGAAGTTACACTATAAATAAGCCCAATGTTATATACTAAGTGACATATAAATCCGAACACCCAGTTTAAATGGTTTTATTTTAATAAAATTTTGTATAAGTACCTAATGAAGCATAATAAGTAAATGATAAAATTTCAAAATGATTGCACTGCTTTAAAGCCCTTTGACCTTTAATAATGTGTAGATGCACCCTGATGTGCTACGCATTCTCCAACGCGCCTAGGCATGCTTCTGATCAGGTGGTCAATGATCTCCTGTGGTATCTCATTCCAGGCAACCACCAACTCCTCTCGAAGTGCTTCTAGAGTCTGAGGAGGACGTTGCAAATTGAGCAATCTCCTACCCAACATATCCCACACGTGCTCAATTGGGGATAAGTCAGGAGATCTTGGTGGCCATGGTAACAATGTGGCATCATTATGTTGAAAGAAGTCTATTGTGACTCTTGCAACATGTGGTCGGTGAACAGTGTGATGAACATGTCTTTCAACAAAAAACTGTGGATTCCTCCTTTCACCACGTCGCCTTCTAACCCTGGCACGACCATCGTGCATGCCTAAACAAAATCGAGACTCGTCACTAAAGACAATACTGTTCCATTCCTGATCCCAGAGTGACCGTTGTCTGCACCACTCAAGGCGATTACGTCGATGTTCTCGAGTTAAAGGGAGGACCCAGTGTGGCCGTTATGAAAACAAGCCAAAACTTCTCATTCGTCGGTAAACACTTCGCATGCCAATAGGTCTTTCGTGTTCTGCAAACCATTCATTTGCAGTGGACGTGGTAGTGGAGAAACGGTCCCTTAAGGCCAATAATCTTAGGCGGCGATCTTCACGGTCTGTTGTTCTACGGCGGCGTCCAGTGCCCCTTGCTCTTTGCGTACGGCCTTCTCGAAGCCATGCCTGACAACACCTACACTTCTTTGCACTCTAACTGCAATTGCCCGAAAAGAAAGTCCAGCTTCCCGAAGTCCCACTATACGGCCCCTATCAAACTCACTAAATTGACGAAATCGTACAGGTCTCCGTACTCTAGGCATCGTAACCGATCGTAAAGGATGTCAAGAACCAAAATCCGCCAACGTTAATTCTTTACTGCGGCTGAAATATTCATTTTTAGAGCGTTAGTGAATTAAAAAAAAAGCAGTATAAAAACCGGAATGTCCAACTGATAAGGCTGAAAATTTTTTAACTTGTTATTTACAGTAAGATAAATACATTCACCAACTTTTATTAAAATAAAACCATTTAAACTGGGTGTTCGGATTTATATGTCACTTAGTATATTTTAAGCTTGTTTTGATAATGACGCCAAGATCCTTGTATGAGGTTTCTCTACCTAGCTGTA